ATCGAGCTAAGCCGAGCGAGTAAACTTCAACCATATACTCAGACGAAAGACAAACACAGTCCAGAGTAATAGTCCAGTGTATCAACGCGGGAGAAAGAGAGAGACATCGATTGTGGAAGCCAGCCGTCCCTTCTTGCCTCCCTCCTTCCCTCTCTCCCTGCTCATCGCGAGAGTACAAAGTGTTACAAAGTGTGCGACGAAAACGTAGGAATTCCATCCTCGACGAAGATAGTTGGAGTGAAAGAGGAGGATGGCCGTAACTAAAATTTACTCCACGAAGAGGCGACGCATCGCGAAAGAATGCCGTGGAAACGTGGCCAGAGTGACGGAGAGGATTCGATTCCCCTGTATCGACATACGATACACGAACGTATCGTGGAATAAGGTGGGAATAAGGAAGAGGAGACAGGGGGGGGGAGATGGCGGATGGCTTCCTCCGAGGAAGAGTGAGGGAATAACTGCGAAAATGGAGGGATAAGAGGAGGGAAGAGGACGAGATGAGGTGAATAAAAGAGAAGGAAAGAGGGAATCGTTCTTCCCGTTTCTTTAAATAAGCACCGCGTAATACTCGGGCTAAATATAATCGGAACGGCGTAGCTTGAGAGAAAGAGCGTCCGGCTGGTAGGTGGCAACGCTTCCTACCTACGAGTCTGCGTCAATTTGGCGCGTGTGACGAATAAGGTCGTTGCTTGATTGGAAGATGCACTCGTATTTCCTAAATTTTATCTTGTTACGTGCATTATCGCGACTTGAATTTCTCACTTCTCACTTTCTCATTTCTGAATGGGAATCGGATCGATGAAGGTGTTTCTAATTCGAGACCTCATTATCGTAATTACCCTTATAAGCGTTATTCGAGATCGATTGTGCATACAAGTAAATATAGACTGTATATTCCAAATATTGTTACTTCATTTCCATTATCTTCCATGAAATATTTTCCGGGAAAATCGTCGTGAAAGAAAAACTTGGTAAACCCTAGCCTATACGTATACGTTCAATCTTTCTATTCCTTTATAACAATGTGGGGACGAATTACGAAAAGTGTACAAGTAAAATTACATTTCGTGAAATTTTATTTGAATGAAAGACAGGGAACGTTCGTTGTTTCATATAATATCTATAAACGATTTCTAATTTTAAAATTCTTTAATGCGACTAAAATACGATTAAACGATCGAACAATCTATCCAATCTATTCACGTACAAGCAAATAGTAATGTAATTTCCAGAGATAAAATAACAGATCGCGGATAAACAGAACAATTTAATTCGATGATGATATCATCTATTACTATTATTCAAAATTCTCTCCTCTCTCCTATATCAAAATCTATATCCAAATATTCGAAAATCAACTTCCTCCCCCTAATCTCCTCGCCCCTCTCGATTCCATATTCAATGATAACATCGAAAACCGCATCCATCGAGGACCCCCCCGCTCCCTTCAACCACATACCGGAAGCATCGATCCGGTATCATCGAGATACAATTTCGAGCAATGTATTCGAGCAGTGGATTCTACTGTAACACGTATACGGGGAGGCATAGATTCGCGGCCGTCTGAATATTCCCGCCGAAGTTAAGCCAAAGTTGAATACAGCTGGCTGTGAGGAAGGGGGCCGAGGGGAAGGACGAGTGGAAGAAGAAGCTTTTGGCCGGCAGTCAGTGGGTCAGGGCGGCGAGTCGCATTCCACGAGCCGGCTGAAGGCATCCTCCTCGGAAGAGCAGAGCTTTCGTCTCCGGCTCCCGCGTTCCCGGTGGCGCGTGTGGTGGCACTCATTTTTTTTTTTTTTTATTTCTTCGAAAGAAGAAGTCTTCTCTCGATAAGAAAGAAAAAA